TATAATGCCATAGCTCCCCCTTAGGACTCGGAACACCTGAAGATGCCATCAATGTGATTGAGCAAGGGCAACAGAGGACCAGATTGTGCATTTTTGTGGCAGGCACAAGGTAAAATGGCTTGTCCTTCAAGTTAGAGGGTGTAGTTTGATATGGTCCAGCTTCCTAGGCTCCCAAAATTTCATTTAGGTAGCAGATTGCTGTATTTTCAAGGAATCTATCCTTCATCCTCTGTAATGCTTATATCTACCAAAGTGACTAGTGTTCCTCTTGCCTTCTGATAATCATGTTATTTTAGCTTTATGTCATCAATGTGTTCTCCCAGTTTGATGTCTTTTGGGACAACAATAATGCTATTTCTGGGCATTTACTATGTGCCAGGGTATCATAAAATTTTTTTACGTATATCAACACATTCACTAATGTAAAACATCCTTACATAATACTGAATGATAGATATTATTATCTGTATTGTACTGATAAAGAAACTAAGGTTCACAGAGGTTATGTAACTTGCCCAAAGTTACTACTAAGTAGATGGCAATGCCTGGACTTATATTCAGGTCATCTAGCTGTGGAGCCAGGCTATTAATTACTAGTTTATGTTGCCATGTAAACATGTTGGTGTGCAAGGGTGATTTTATTGAGCAGACTAGCTTGTTAGCACATACTTCTGGGACAGAGAAGAGTTAGACTCAGGGTAACTTTTATTTTTCTGATCCTGAAAATGAGTGGAAGAGAAGAGGGAAGGTATTTTCATCCTGAAAACACCTAATCCCTCCTATCGATCTTGAAGAGCTTGCCTTGACATAAGTCATGGAGGTATTTATTGTAGAACTATTTCCAGCTCCGACTAGAGCCTTAAATTTGAACAAGCATTTATCTCTAGTAATAAACCCAATGTTTGAAAATAGAGATTCACAAGACAAGATAAACTGTAGATTACTTAATTTTTAAAATTTCTTTATCTTCCATAGTTTCCCCTAACATTTCTGTTTCAATGCTTGCTTTAACAGGGAGTGAAAAAAGGAAGCAGGATACTCATACTGTAAATTTGAAACCCAGGTATTGTATATAAAGTAAGGTACTTCTGAATACCACTTGGACTAGTTGCCAGTTTGCAAGGTCCAGATATCCTCAGACATGTCTCAAGGAGTTCTTCGTCCTAACCCTAGCGTATGGATTTGGGGTTCCTTTTTTATCCTCTCAGGTTGCTGAGATGTACAGATTTGGATTGAGGAAGTTCTAGACCAGTGGTTCCTACTTTTAGAACACATCAGAATCACCTAGGGCACTTGGTAATAAGGTACATTTTTAGGTCCAAACCCCACTTCTTATGAGTGGCCATTGCTATACAAGTATGTTTGCTTCTAGGTATGCGCAAGTTTTAAGACATTCTAAGAGATTGAAGAGTGCTGTTTTAGGATCCTAGTACAAAGAGCTGAGGAAAGGGTCACTCCTTTACATACCACCAGCATTACTTGAGCACTAGTGAAGTGGGAATTTTTAAAGCTTCGAGAGACAGCATCTTTTGTACATACACCCAAACTCCCAGGCAGGGCACCATCTATGGTGGCTGTGGTGAAATTTCTTTAGCAGGTTTCGAGTGAAACAAGAGATGTGGTGGACCTTACTGGGAGACCTGAGGCAAAACAGTAGAACGTGGTGGTGTTTAGTGAAGATTTTATTGAGCAGACTAGCTTGTGAGCACATGGGATGCACCCATCTGGGGAATACCACACTTTGGAAGGAGGAGACTTAATTTTATGTCATCAAACCAGTGAGTGTTTAATTAAGTAGAAACTGAGAAATATAAGTGAAGATGAATTGATTTAAAACTCACTGACTAGTAAAGCTTGAAAACATCGCAGATGTGTGAGTTGTGTGACACATATAAATATATATGTATATGACTGAGCGAGTATAAGCTGGTTACTGTTCAGTTGATTCTGACTCATGGTGGCCTCATGTGTGTCAGAGTATAACTGTGCTCCATATGGTCTTAAATGACTGATTTCTTAGAAGTAGATTGCCAGGTCTTTCTTCCAAGGCACCTTTGGGTGGACTTGAACTTCCAACCTTTTGGTTAGCAGCTAAGCATGTTAACCATTTGTACCACATAGAGGGTCCCCTGTAGAGTATAAACCCATTGTCACTGAGTCGATTCTGACTCATAATGACCCTATAGGACATGGTAGAACTGTTCCATAGGGTTTCCAGGGCTATAATTTTTGTGGAAGCAAACTGCTACATCTTTCTCCCATGGAGCCGAGAGTAGATTTGAACTGCCTACCTTTGGACAGCAGCCAAGTGATTAACCTCTGCACCACCAGGGCTCTGCTAGAGAGTAATGTTGTTGTTAGGTGGTGTGGAGTCAGTTCCAATTTATAGCAACCCTATGTACAACAGAAGGAAACATTGCCTGATCCTGCAGCATCCTCACAATCCTTGTTATGCTTGAGTCCATTGTTGCAGCCACTATGTCAATCCATCTCGTTGAGGGTGTTCTTCTTTTTTACTGACCCTCTACTTTACTGAGCATGATGTCCTTCTCCAGGAACTGATCTATCCTGATACCATGTCCAAAGTATGTGAGATGTAGTCTTACTATCCTTGCTTCTAAGAAGCACTCTGGTTGTACTTCTTCCAAGACAGATTTGCTTGTTCTTTTGGCAGGCCATGGCATATTCACTATTGTTCGCCAATACCACAATTCAAAGGCATCAATTATTTTCCGGTCTTCCTTATTCATTGTCCAGGTTTCCCAGTGAATATGAGGTGATTGAAAACACCATGGCTTGGTTCAGGCACACCTTAGTCTTCAGGGTGACATCTTTGCTTATGAACACTTAAAAGAGGTCTTTTACAGCAGATTTGCCCATGCAGTGAGTCTTTTGACTTACTGACTGCTGCTTCCATGGGTGTTGATTGTGGATCCAAGTCAAATGAAATCCTTGACAACTTTAATCTTTTCTCCGTTTATCATGATGTTGCTTATTGGTCCAGTCCTGAGGATTTTTTGTTTTCTTTATGTTGAGGTGTAAGCCATACTGAAGGCTGTCGTCTTTGATCTTCATCAGTAACTGCTTCAAGCCCTCTTCATTTTCAGCAAGCAAGGTTATGTCATCTGCATAACGCAGGTTGTTAATGAGTCTTCCTCCAATCCTGAGGAAGTTCAGGTTCTCGGATTATTTGCTCAGCAAACAGACTGGATAAGTACGGTGGAAGGATACAACCCTCATGCACACCTTCCCTGACTTTAAACCACGAAGTATCCCCTTGTTCTGTTCAAATGACTGCCTCTTGACATATGTACTAGAGAGTATAAAAAAACCAAAAAACCAAACCTATTGCCATTGAGTCGATTCCGACTAATAGTGACCCTTTAGGACAGAGTAGAACTGCCTCATTGGGTTTCCAAGGAGCGGCTGGTGGATTCGAACTGCCGACCTTTTGGTTAGCAGCCTTAGCTCTCAACCACTGCACCAAAAGATATACACACACTTGTGTAAGCATATAGCTTTTTCCAGGACCCTGCCCTTTCAGCAGAGCCCAGACCTATCTCATGGATTAAATGGCAATAAAAGTAGCCCAGTCTCTAGCTCAGCAGATTAAGATATAAATGCAAAGCTGCACTTATTCATGGTTCTCATTCTGGGACATATGATTTTTAGGAAATTATCTTGGTCTCTATTTTGGATAACAGCATGAATCTACTCTTTCTAGGGACATGGCAAATCTAAAATGACCACTCTAGTCCACCCCAGTTGACATCTTCTCTTCTGAGGTTGGTTTAAAAACTATACTGTTCTTTTAAGGATGGGAATGTGAGGTGCAAGGCGAGTTATTTCTTATTTTCATCAATCCTTATTGATTTTAGACATCAAAAACTGGCTATTTGTTATTGTTATTGTTAGGTACCATCCAGCCGGTTTCAACTCATAGGGAGCCTATATACAACAGAACTAGCCATCCTTGCTTCTAATGAGCATTCTGGCTGTATTTCTTCCAAGACAGATTTGTTCGTTCTTTTGGCAGCCCATGGTATATTCAATATTCTTCACCAACACCATAATTCAAAGGTCTCAATTCTTCTTTGGTCTTCCTTATTCATTGTCCAGCTTTCACATGCATATGAGGCAATTGAAAACACCATGGCTTGGGTCAGGATCACCTTAATCCTTAAGTGATAACTTTGCTTTTTAGCACCTTAAAAAGGTCTTTTGCAGTAGATTTGCCCCTAATTTGTTAGAATCACTTTGATAAGAATATTTCTTCAAATTCTCTCAAGGTGTTCAAATCGTGACTGAACACTAAGGGAAAAGACAATGAACAAACACAATAACACAAACTCTGAAACTATAAGCAACAGAAGAAATGTATTCCCAGAATAAATTTAGCAAGCTATTATGAGTAAACTTTTCCTTTGTCTTCACCCTCTATACTATAGGCATTTTGACGTTATAATTTGAAGACTATGTAATTTATTCCTCCCTTCTTGAAAAAATGAAATATCGTTTGTCATTACTGCTGAAGTGGCTACTCAGGGGAGATAACTAAATACATAAAACTCAGCCTTTGGAAGCCTGATTATTTCTCAATGCAGGTGGTTACAGATGAGGTTTTCAAAAGGTAAAGTAATACAAAAATAAATAAATAAATAAGCCTATTCCTAATGATCACTATATTGTATTCTACATGTCATTGGACTAAATGTATTTTTAGCCATTTATTTAGTTACATATTTGACTGTAATTTCAATGACTTCCTGAAACAAATTCCCGCTTTAACTATTTTTAAAAACCTGGTAATACATTTTGGAAAGACAAATAGATATAGCTAAGGTTTCAAAAAGTAAAAAATAAATAGTTGATAAAAGAGTTACTTTCATTTTAACTAGAGATTTTTTTCCCTCCCAGAGACTTTGAAATTGCCATCTCTTTTGTGTTCCAGACTGCTGAAATAGAACATCTGAGAGCTTTAAAGTAATTCAAGGAAAGCAATGATAAACAATTTCTCCCAGAAGCTGTGGAGCTCTGCTCTGAGAACGTGAATGGATCCTGCATTAAAACCCCTTACTCGCCTGGGCCTTGGGCAATTCTGTATGCAGTCCCAGGTTTTGGGGCTGTGCTGGCAGTGTTTGGAAACTTACTGGTCATTATTGCTATCCCCCATTTAGCTGCACACGCCTACTAACTTTCTGATCGCATCCCTGGCCTGCGCTGACTTCTTGGTGGGAGTGACTGTGATGCCCTTCAGCACAGTGAGGTCTGTGGAGAGCTGTTGGTACTTTGGGGAGAGTTACTGTACATTTCATACTTGCTTCGATACCTCCTCTTGCTTTGCGTCTTTATTTCATTTATGCTGTATCTCTGTTGATAGGTATGTTGCTGTTACTGATCCTCTGACCTATCCAGGCAAGTTTACTGGATCGGTTTCAGGAATATGTATTGTTGTTTCTTGGTTCTTTTCTGTATAGTTTTTCTATCTTTTACACTGGGGCCAGTGAGGAAGGCATCGAGAAATTAGTAGTTGCTCTCACCTGTGTAGGAGGTTGTCAGGCTCCGTTGAATCAAAATTGGGTTCTGCTTTGTTTCCTTCTATTCTTTATCCCCACTGTTGCCATGGTGTTTATCTATGGTAAGATATTTTTGGTGGTGAAACATCAGGCTAGGAAAATAGAAAGTATAGCCAGCCAAGGTCAGTCCTCTTCAGAGAGTTACAAGGAAAGAGTAGCAAAAGGGGAGAGAAAGGCGCTAAATCGTTGGGTATTGCTATGGCAGCTTTTCTTCTCTCTTGGCTACCATACATTATTGATGCTTATATGAATTTTATAACTCCTCCTTATGTTTATGAGATTTTAGTGTGGTGTGTTTACTACAACTCAGCTATGAACCCTTTGATATATGCGTTCTTTACTCTTGGTTTAGGAAGGCAATCAAACTTATAGTAAGTAGCAAAGTGTTAAGGAGTGACTCATCAACAATTAACTTCTGAGGAAGCAGATATAGATTGAAAAGACTATTGAAGGAACTTGAAAATTAATGTGGAATTACCTTCAAGGGCAAAAATAAACACTTGTGTCTAGAGACGTGAATAATAATCGTTTGCCAAGTAGATGGATATTATAATCAACATTTAGTTGATTTAAGGCATTTTGTGTAATTAGATTTGTTTTTTGTATTTAAAGAATTTAGTGCTATATGAATAAGATTTGCTGATAACTTCCCATTTAGTAAACTTTTATGGTTTCTCTGGTTCTCTACGTTCTTCTCTAAAATTTCTACTTGTTTCTTCAAGTAATTTGGAGTTTTCTAGTTTTCTTCCACACTCATTATCAGTATGCAGGTATCCAGAATACTTGGGTAGGGGGGAGTCCAGTCTAACTTGTAAAATAGATTCTTTGGGGGAAAAAAATCTTTAAAGTATACTTGCTTGAGCTGTAAACACTAGATTATAAACTACTGAATTTTTTTAAATCTAAAAGTACTTTGTGGAGAGCGAGAACGTGGACTTTAGCAGTGATTGAAGATTGTTTGATAAACACTGGACCTTTTGTCTTTTTTCCCAGGTAATTTTTCCTCTCATTGCACAGAGACTGTGTTCACAAAGAACATGTTTAGGGATCACATGCTGTTTAGGGCAACCTGTACAAAGGTACCTAAGCTGCCTCAACTGTCATGATGATGATTCCACACTACATCTTCCTTTTAGAGAACATAATTTATTATTAAAGAATAAGCATGTGGCCAAAAAGATGGTTTCTGTACTTTTCAGTCATTTGACATAAATAATTTTATAAAAAGCTAATAATTAAAGTTAAATTTTTCCATTTTTGAGTTCTTACATGAACTAGAAACTGTATTTGGCATTGGAAATATTAAACTACATGATCCAAATATAACCAAAGATTGTGTTAAAATTGCAAATCCTCAAACTGGTACAACACGCTAGGAGTACCTACAGTTTTCTCATATGATAATATGAGAAAGTATTTTTCAAATCAACATGAATTCCGATTTATTGTAATTAAAAATATACGTGGAACATTTCAAGATACAGTAAAAAGTTCAAGAAAACTAGTAATAAGATGATTTGCCTTCTCGAGTATTTGAATCCTGCCTTAAATTTTTGTTTAGGTAGCTGATTTTCAAGATTATTCTATAAATCAAACTTGTTTTATGTAATGAAAAGAAGTAAAAGTAAATAGAGTTACATAAAGATTACATGTTATATATTTTATAAACGAACCTGTTTGGAAGTACTTTGTACAGTATTAAGCTGTTCTATACTTGTGCATTAATGCCTTTCAAACAGAACTGAGAGTATTCAGGGAAAAAATGGTTAAAGTTAAGAGAAGATGAAAGGATTATTTGCATCAGACAAGTCCTCATGGCAGAATACCTGTTTGCAGTTCAGACCATGATGTCAGGGAACAGGTCTACTGACCAGCTTGCAAGTCACCACAGTGAAGGTCCCCCATTCTCACTCCTTAAGAAGCAGCTCAAAACCTGTGTTCCCTTGATGGTGAGTCAGTAATATTTTCACAGAAAATGTGCTCTTTCCCTCAACTGCAGATACAAGCTTCCACTGATACTCATGAATAATAAAGAAAATAATCTGAAGGATTTAAAAAATGCCCTATTCTGTTCACTATCACTATGCAGGGTATAATTGCTAAATGAACTGATTGCAGAAATACTGTCCGGTGATGTTGTCATGGTCTTATTCACATCAGTAAGCAGAGAATATGCTTGCAATTTACTCTTTCTTGTTTCTTTTTCTACCTTCTTGTAGCCCTGCATAAAGGAAGGCTGTTGATTAAAAAGTACCTGGTTATTTTCTCCAAAACCAACCAGAGTATTAGCACAGCGCCACTCTTCTTTTCTACACCTCATTTATTTACGTAAGTGAGCTATTAACGTCTTGGCCAGCTGTATACAAAGTTGTATTTGGAACAAGAGACATCAAGGATGAAGGATGGCTTCATTCCACAAGACCCTCTCTGCAAAATACTATGTCTCACAGATACATACGTTATTATTAAAAATACATGTGCCTTGTTTTAATTAATAAAATAGTAATCAATTTACAAGAATTACTTAATTTGGAATAGCTTTTGTCCATGTGCATTTTTCTCAGTCAGTCAGTGCTAAAGGTACAATTACATTATGTGAAGCTCTGAGGATATTCTTTTAAATATTAAAATGGGGGATTCTAAAACAGAAAGTTACAGAGTGATTGCTGTAGAGTTTGCCTCAGTGTTGACTGGGGTTAAAGCAACATTATCAGTTAGTATCAGGGCTGTGGGTAATCCACAACTAACAAATTATAGACAGAATAGACTATTATTAATACCCAAGTCCTCTAGGACAGCTACCAGTGTCACTGGGTATTGCTGTAACAGCATTTCTTCATTTATTACTTATGTGGTAATTGATGCTTACCTAGATTTCACAGTCTCCCCATGTAATTACAATCTTTTGAGTTGTTATGTTCATTTTTCTTCAGCTATGAAGCCCTTGACTTATTTTTTCACCCTTGGATTTTTGGACATATTATGACCTATTTGAACGACAGTCTTAAAGTGTGATTCTTTAGCATCACATTTGTGTTTGAAATAAACAGAAATAAACTAAAACTATTAATCGCAAAAAATCAAATTTATTTTGAAGCACACATTAAAGGCTACATATATGTCCTTCGACACACAGGAAATTTATTGTGATTTCCATATTAGAAAACTAAGGCTATTATACATCAACAGTAATTTTTAGACTTTTTTTTCAGCCTTTAGGCAGATATATTCCTATACTTTACAAATTAAGCAATTTGATATTTCCATTACCATCCAGTTGATTCTGACTCATAGTGAAACTTTGAGCCAGAGTAGAACTTCCCCATAGTGTTTCCAAGGAGCAGCTGGTGATTCAAACTGCCAACCTTTTGGTTAGCAGTCATGTTCATTACCACTGTGCCACCAGGGCTCCATGATGTTTACTAGGTACTTTTTATTTGCTAGTAAGTCTTTGTCCACATTACTTCAACACCTAGCACAGTGCCTTACACTGAATAATTCCCTAAAAATATTTCTTAAACAAATGAATGATCTTTTTTTTTTTTTTTTTAACTTTCAACCATCAAACAATGGTCTAAGTACTAGTTTTTTTTTTTTGGTTTTCTTTTTTACGTTTTAAATCAATCTGCTACCTTTAAAAAAAATTGGTTTCCTAAAATAGGAAAAAATAGTATCTTTGGTTGGGAATAATCTAGCTTTAGCCAGTTAATCGGGTTTGTTTAACCCAACTGTCAAAAGATATTATTAAATTTAATGAAGAAAAGTATTAGAACATGTAAACTTTCATAAAATTGAGTATCCTTGCCTAAAGTGGCTAAGTACTGCAGCATTACCTCGAAGATTTATGGTGAAGATTTTCAATGTCAAATTACTTTGAAAGCGTGCAACTTCTTTTATCTGTGGTGGAGAGTAAGGCTCTGAAACCAGGCTGCCTGTCTTTGAATCCCAGCTCTACCTCGTAAGCTGTGAATTTGGTTAACGCACCCTTTATGCATCTTAGTTGTTTACCTATAAAATGGAAAAGATAATGTTACTTTTTCATTAGGATGTTGTGTAATAAAGACTATGATGTAAAACAAATCTGTAGATTTTAGAGACTTAAGAGCCAATACACAAACCATTGTCACACAAATATTGCCTTTTCCACATTTATAAATGTCTCTGAGGAAGTAATTTTATAAAAGTGTTTTATTTACACACATTCAAAACATGTCTTTACAGGATTGACTCTCTGAAGTCTAGAAAGAACCACTTAACTGATTAAGAAAATGATATCAGGAGTTCAAAGTAAATCCTTCATAGAGATGTGCTAACTCTTTATCTTCATAAAAGTAAGAAACAGAAGAAATCCAAATATACAAATTAAAGGTTATTTATAGCTAAGTAAATAAAAAGACATTTGCACAAACGGCTTACATTTTATTCCAGTTACGTGAGTTTTTGGAATTAACATTTTGTTTTTCTTATTGTTAATATTAATTACAGAAATTATTAATGTGGAAACAAGCTCTGAGGAAGTTATATGTCTTGCCTAAGTCAACGTATACACTCAATGCTGGAGCTAAAATATTTAAACCTATGTCTGTCTGTCAGTCTTCAAAGCCAATGCCTTAGAGAACTGGTCAGAAAAACCAACAACACTCTTAGAAATGAAAAGCCATATGATTATTTTCCCAGGCATTACATAGCAGCTGACAGTTACATTTTATTCTGTGTAAACACGCACACACAGTGATGGTTGTGGTTGTAAAGAGAAGCACTGTGTAATGCCAAGGGATAGTATTTTATCAATTCCTAAGGACAAAGCCAAATAAGCAAGGTAGACTATGATACCTAAGAAAATGATATATAAGGTCCCGGTTTTGGCTCATCCTGGTTAAATTTGTGAATCAGACAAAATGAGGAGGCAGTCTCCCACTTGTCCTCTATCTACCTTCTCTTTGGTCCTAGGATCTCCCTTGTTTCCTGGGCTGTGATCAACCATTTGTCCTGCCCTTGTCCTTTCCCACCAGTAGCAAGAGCTGCTAAGCAAAGACTGTTTGCTGAATGAATTGTTCTTATGGAAGTATTAACAATAAAAAATGACACCACTCTCAGATGGTTTCCATTTTGAGGAGGTACAAGAGAAATTTAAGAGAGAAGTACTTGAATAAAAAAAATAAAATGCAAAGAGTGACGTTTCAGGAAGTAGAGATTTATTCAAGTGGAACAACTTTCTGGTATCTCAATTAATACCAATTAGGCAACCGGTTTCTCTGCTTGGAGGAGACATTTTAATGAGGGATACAAAACCAACACAAATACACAAGTTCAAAGAAGCATATCAGTTGATATGTTAAGGAGAAGGCACAGTTCACAGCTAGATCAGTAAGTTATAATGAGGTGATAGTATGAGAGAACCTGTGTCTGGAAAGTCATATGGAATGTCTAAGCACTAAACAGACCTTTAAAGATGGAAGAATTTTGCTGGAGTAGAAGAAAAGAAGGTTTCCAGGCTGTGTCATTTTGGGTTCTTTGGGAAGCCTATGGTAAGACAAGTTAGAAGTATTAGAGGATTAGTTGTGCTAATGTCTGTGAAAGGTCATGGAAGCTCCATAGACACATCCAAACTCTGTGAGGGACTGAATTGCTGGGTGGAGGGCTGTGGGGACCATGGTCTCGGGGAACATCTAGCTCACTTGACATAACACAGTTTATAAAGACAATGTTCTACATTCTACCTTGGTAAGTAGCATCTGGGGTCTTAAAAGCATATGAATATCCATCCAAGATACTCCACTGGTCTCACTCCTTCAGGAGCAAGGGAGAATGAAGAAAAGAAGATAAAAGGAAAAGATTAGTCCAAAGGACTAATGGACCACAACTACCATGGCCTCCACCAGACTGAGTCCAGTACAACTTGATGGTGCCCGGCTACCACCACTGACTGCTTTGACAGGGATCACAACAGAGGGTCCTGGACAGAGCTAGAGAAAAATGTAGAACAAAATTCTAAGTCACAAAAAAAGACCAGACTTACTGGTCTGACAGAGACTAGAGAAATCTTGAGGATCGCCCCTGGACACCCTTTTAGCTCAGTAATGAAGTTACTCCTGAGGCTCACCCTTCAGCCAAAGATTAGACAGGCCCATAAAACAAAACTAATGGGGCACAACAGCCCAGGGACAAGGACTAGAAGGTAGGAGGGGACAAGAAAGCTGGTAATAGGGAACCCAAGGTCGAGAAGGGAGAGTGTTGACACATCATGGGGTTATTAACCAATGTCATAAAACAATATGTGTACAAACTGTTTAACGAGAAGCTTTCTGTAAACTTTCATCTAAAGTACAATAAAAAATTTAAAAAAGACAATTAAATCATAACACTATCAAAAAATATTAAAAAAAGTGATCCATCGCACTGTACACTTGCATGAAAAATAAAGTTATGTTTTTTGCACACCTTAATCTGTGCCCTGTAATTCATAGAAGCTATGTGTGGGGCTTTTCTGGAATTTCTATCCTGTCTCAGTCAACACATATCTATACTGTAGACTGATTAAAAGCAATAAGATAAAAGCTACGACCAAAATTCTAAGAAAATTGGTGTGAAGATATAAGTTGGGCCTACTAAGTCATGTTGATTTCTGAAATATCAGACGACTGTGATGAGACAAATTTTAAAAAAGAACTTTAGAATGTTTCAAATTCTTTGGAATGCACAGGGTAATTAATAGAAGAGAAGGAGGAATGGAAGGAGGGAGATAAAACCAGAAAAATGTGCTGACGTTACTATAATCTCTGAATCCTAGCCAAATACACCAAAAAGGAAAACCAAAAAACCAAACCCAACCCATCGCTGTCAAGTTGATTCTGACTCAGAGCGACCCTATAGCCAAAGGAAGGAAAGGGCTTAAAAAATAGAATTTAGAGCCCCTAATTATTCTCTGCAAAGAGCCTTAATAGTGTGGTGGTTAAAGCACTCGGCAGCTACAAAAAGGTCAGCAGTTCGAACCCACCAGCTGCTCCATGGGAGAAAGATGTGGCAGTCTGCTTCTGTAAAGATTACAGCCTTGGAAACCTTATCAGGCTGTTCTACTCCATCCTATAGGGTCACTACGAGTTGGAATCAACTGGTTGGCAATGAGAATTAGTCTCTAGGAGTCCCTGGATGGTTAAGCACTTAACTAGTAACCAAAAAGTTGATGGTTCAAACCCACCTAGAGCCTCATCAAAGGAAAGGCCTGGTTATCTGCTTCCAAAATGTTACAATTTTAAAAACTCAGTGGAGCACAGTTTTACTCTGAAACACATGGGATTGCCATGAGTCTGAATTGGCTTGACAGCAACTGGCAACTGGTTTCTTTTGTTTAATTTGTCTCTAAATAGCTTTAAAAATGGAATATTTTCGCAGAGATAGGGGAAAGACAGATTTCAGTACATTGGCTCTGAAATCTGAACCAAGCCAAACCAGCATGTTAGTTAATGGGACACACGTGAGTGGTCTGGAGACATGCAAATGAGGTCACAGAATTCATAGCCTTTCCCAGGCCTGGAGGGGGAATGTTGTTAAGCATATGCTTTAGAGTGCAGGGAAATGTGAGCATCCTTTTTTCTGTCATGGAAAGATGGCCATTTCATTCAAGATGGAGCCAACAAAGGTAAATTTAAAGCTACTAATGTGGAAGCTAAGTAGACTACATAAGCATCCTGGAATTTAGCCTCTGGTGGAAAGAAGGAGAACCCAAAATTGACTGAGTTTAAGTTTATTGCATCCTATGAAATAGCAACTGGTAAGGGAATTAGAGTTCAATTACAGAAAAACAAATTCTATCTGGCTCACTTGAGTTTGTGGTAGTTAAGGTTTTTACCTGCTGTTAAGTATATGTCCTCAACTCTCTTGCACTAATCAAAGGATAAAATCTAAAATGAGTAGCATGATGTAAAAACTTGTGCACAGTGTTGAAACTTCCTCTGTTCTTTACCTCAGGTCCTTCCATCTATCCTTCTAAATCTGGCTCTAAAGTTTTTGTGCATTCCCAGTTATGTTGGCTGTCCCTATGCCATTTCTCTTTTAGAATTTATACATGTGTTTATTTGGACTTGAAGCACATTGCAACCTGTGTCTAGTATTAGATGGAGACCACCCTAAGAGCAACAGATATTTCTTGTTTATATTTTTGCATGTTCAGATCTGATGTAAATACACCCTCTCCTCACTTATCGACTATCTCATTATCTAACATTTGGGATTAAGAAAATAGCAAAATATCTACTGTCTGACTATTTTGCACATTAAAGACATATGTCTGGCGGTAATGAACACTGAGGTGCAAGGAGAGAGCAATGCTGGCTGTGATGGTTAAGGTTATCTGTCAACTTGGCTGGGCCATGATTCTCAGTGGTTTGTTAGTTATGTAATGATATAATTTGGAAGTTATGTAATGATGTAGTCATCTTCCTGTTTGTGATCTGATAAGATCATCCTCCATTTTTGCATAATGCTAATTTTTACCTAACAACCTGGTCTTTGGAACTTAACCATGTCAATAAGTGAGAAAAGGGTATAGATATTTACTGTTGTTTTTGTTAGGTGTTATCAAGTAGGTTCTAATTCATAGTGACCCGATGTGCAATAGAACGAAACACTGCCTGGTCCTGCACCATCTTCACAATCATTGCTACGTTTAAGGCCACTGTTGCAGCCACTGCATCAATTCATCTCATTGAGGGTCTTCCTCTTTTTCACTGACCCTGTTCCAAGTATGATGTCCTTCTCTAGAGACTGGTCCCTCCTAATAACAAGTCTAAAATAAGTGAGACGAAGTCTTGCCATCCTTGCTTCTTAATAAATAATGCTTAATAAACAAATATAAATGTTGAATTGATGAATGAGTGAACCACAGTTGGATTTATGGACGTCTTGGGAGGACTCATGCCCCATGTATCTTCTGATTGCTGAAGCACTGTGGCCTTGTTACTGATCTGAAAGAGAGTGCTGTCAAGGTTCAGTATGAAAGATTAACAAGTGGTGTAGGTCCTTCTTGTAGAGAGATTTATACATCCAGAAGACGTCTTTTATTTTTAGGTTGCTAAGAGTTTTTCTTTTTATTAAAGAAAGAATATTCAATTTTATCAAATTTTTTTTCTCCATTTCATCAGATGATCTTAAAATTTTAATCTTTTAATCTGTGATGTGCTGAATTATATTGATTTTGTAATGTTAAAGCAATCATCTATCCTTGGAATATGCTCAACTCATGATGTTTCATCTTTTCATTTTCCCCTTCTGCAGACTGTGGCAGATGCAAATGGCTGAATGAAAGCCAAATGGTGAAATGGGCAGAACCACGACCTGAAAGGAGTCTGGATCTTCAAATCACAATTTAGAAAAGAGCAGCCTGCCCACCAGCAACACCCATTTTGGACTTTTCATAGCAAGAAGTAAACATCTGTTTTATTCAGATCATCATGTTTTGGGGTGAATTGACAGGTTTGGTTTGTAGATGCTTGTTTAGGATATTTGTATCTTTGTTTATGAGTGATAGTGTAATCACATTTTTCTTAATATTGTCTTTGTTGAGTTTTAGTATTGAGGTTACTCAACATCAAACAATAAGTTTTCAGTTGAGATTATTCAATACAAGTTTCTTGTCACTGTTTATACCTTGCACTACAGGAAATCCATCTCGGGTATGTTTTAGGATATGGGCTGTGTGTCCTGGGGGTTTTTGTTATTAACTCCTCAGATAGTCTTGCATTGGTGGGAGGTACTAAAAGGTAACACAAATAACAAATCTAATCACATCTCATTTCCTTTTTCAAAGAGGAATACCACACGCTCAATACCAGGTAATAAAAGATGTTTGATAAACGGCAAGGCAAGAAATCCTCTGTGGCAATAGTATGTTTGCAACAGATTTGCTTGAAGTTAAATTTTTATGGGTTTAAAAATGCTTCCCAATTATATACTGAAGTAGAAAATAATAATGGCAATAATTAATAATAACTAAAATTTCTGGAGCATTTAAGTAGAATTTCTGATTATTTCATAGGTTCAGAGATTAAAATTAAAATGGAAGTGTGACAGTTCATGGGAGATAATATCTGTGGTAACTATAGTACGAGTATCTACTTTAAGGGATCTTTTCTCTCCCTACAGGAAATGTGAAGCTGCTGTATTTTATGTGAATGACAAGAAGGACAATGTCTCCAAGTGTAAATAGCAGCATCATGAGCAGCAGCGTGGCCCCGCCTGCCCCGGTAGCTCTGCTAGGAGAACGTGAGCAGATCCTGGGTCAAATCTCCCTACTCGACTGGACCCCGGGTGATTCTGTACTCATTATTTGCCTGTGGGGCTGTGCTGGCAGTGTTTGGCAATCTCCTGGTGATAATTTCAGTCCTGCATTTCAAGCAACTGCGCTCTCCAGCCAATTTTTTGGTTGCCTCCCTGGCTTGCGCTGATTTTTTGATGGGAGTGACCGTGATGCCCTTCAGTATGGTCAGGTCCGTGGAGAGCTGCCGGTACGTTGGAGGCAGTTTTTGTACTTTCCACATGTGCTGTGCTGTGGCATTTTGCTATTGTTCTCTTTTCCATCTGTGCTTCATCTCCGTTGACAGGTACATTGCTGTTACTGCCCCTCTGGTCTATCCTACCAAGTTCACGGTGTCTGTGTCGGGAATACGCGTCGGCATCTCCTGGATCCTGAAGATTATGTACAGCAGTGTCGTGTTCTTCACATGTGTGAATGAGGATGGGATAGAGGAATGTGTAAGTGCCCTCAAATGCATAGGTGGTTGTCAAATTGCTGTAAATCAAAACTAGGTTTTGGTAGATTTTCTGTTATTCTTCATACCTACTCTTGTTATGATAATTCTTTACAGTAAGATTTTTCTTGTGGCTAGAAAACAGGCTAAAAAGATTGAAACTACTAGTAGTAAAGCAGAATCATCATCTGGAACTTACAAAGCCAGAGTGGCCAAGAGAGAGAGAAAAGCATCCAAAACTCTAGGAGTCACAGTGGTAGCAGTTTTGATTTCATGGTTACCATATATGATTAATTCATTTTTGGAATATTTTTTGAGCTTTATGACCCCTTCCTATGTCTATGAAATATTTTGTTATAACTCTGCCCTAAATCTTTTGATTTAAGCTTTATTTTACCCTTGGTTTAGGAGAGAAATAAAGTTTATTCTAACTGACCAAATATTAAAAGATAGTTCCTCAACCATAAATTTATTTTCTAAAGAAGCCTAAATTTGAAATTGAGGGATTTGTAGATATATTGGGAATTTCTCCCAAACTGTGACATGAAATACAGTTCATGAATATTATGTGTTAAATTAGGAGGAGGGACGTTAACCACATTTGCAGTAGTATAAGTTTTATGCTTTTAGTTATTTGCTGTAGTGAGCATTATTAATTATTTGCCACAATGGTATTTACTAAGTGATGTGATACAGGTTCATATATTTGTTTCCTCACACTTTGCCTTTTCATGCTTTGTTAGGTGTTAATTATTCCTCTTCCTGGCCTGCCCTTCATGCTTATCCCTCTGTCACTTTCAAAGGCTTCCTGGTTTCATATTCTGGTTAAGGCTCTGTACTCAATGTCTTTCTCTAGACTGGTTTTACTTTGTTTTCATTTTTCAGCAGCTCGTTTCTTGGGGTTTGTTCATTCTGTAGCTCCCAGCAGTTCTCTGTACCATACACATCAGCCGTTTTGGACTCAGTACAGGACTCGTATTTTATAGTGTTGGTAATAACCATGAGCAGAGGGTACAATTTCCACTGTCGCAATTGTTTAATTACATGAAGTTTGTTATACTACCTGTCTGTCATGATGTAGGGCGATGTTCTGTCTTTTTTTTGCAAACTTCTGAAGTTTCTAGAAAACTTTCAAAGTTTTCTGCAAACTACCCAAAGTTTGTACACTGCTGATGATTAACATAACCAGGAATTTTAAGTTATGGAAAAGAATGAATTATTCAAGAAATGGTGATGGGACATATAACTTTTTTGAAAAAAATATTAAGTATCTTGCCTTACATCATCCACAAAACCAAAACTGATTATTTCAGGTGTTACAAAATTAGAAGAAACAATTGCTTTTATAATTTTTCATTAGTGGAATCATGACAGAAAACCTAGACAGATGCATGACATTCAATTTAAAGTTTTTTAACTTTAAAACAAAATCAAGTTAAGGAAGTAAAAAAAGACAAACTTGGAAGAACTATAGGTACAATGGTTGATGAAGTAGCTTGAAAAATATAAAAGCTCTAAAAACACAGTAAATAAAAAGCAACAAGGGGAAAAAAAAGAAGAAGCTGTTGAGAAATGAAAGCAAAGTAAATTCAATCTAGAGAAAGACAAAACAGTAAACAGAGACAAACATCCCATCAGACAAATTAGTAGGTGATTTTAGAAAGAAAATTTACAAATGGCTAATAAACGCATTAAAATGCAAGGTTTACAAATAATAAAAAATGCTAATAAAAACATGATAGAATTTACCACATCAAGTTGGCTTGTATTAGGAGGATCAATAATACCAATGTTAATTAGAGCATGGGGAAGTGAGAACTCTCAAAAGAGTTGCGCACACTCCGAAGAACGTAACTTAGTTCTTCCTATCTAAGGGCAATTTAAAAAGTGCATAAAAATTTAGAACATACATGTCACTTGACACTGCAGTTTCACTTTTTGCAAGAATCCTAAAAAAGAACCTGGCAAGTAAGCAACATGACACGAACATTCATTGCATAACTCTTATTATTAACAGAAAAAAAACTTAGATCAATATTGGATAAGTTAAATAAATTATGCTCTACCTATGTAACAGAATGTTGTGAAACCATTAAAAAGGGCTAAGAATTGTATGAATTAAAATGGAAAAACAACCACAGTAAATTTTTGACTAAAAAACAAGCAACAAACAAACAAAAAACACCTTTAACCCAGATTAACAAACAGTGTATGTAATATGGTCCACCTGTGTGTATACAGTTATGTGGTTTTTTTTTTTTTTTAATTTTTTATTGTGCTTTAGGTGAAATTTTGCGGAGCAAAGTAGTTTCCCATGTGATAGTTTGTACATAAAGTGTTCCATGACATCAGTTGCATTCCCCACAATGTGTCAGCACTCTCCCCATTTTTGCCCTGGGTTCCCTGTTTCTTTTATCTAGATTTTCTGCCCCTTTCTGCTTTCTCGTCTTTGCTTTTCAGAAAATGTTGCCCTTTTATCTTGTATTATTGATTGTTCTAAGGGGCATGTGTTATTGTTTATATTAGGGACCTATCTATTGTTTGGCTGAAAGGTGGTCATCAGGAATGGCTTCAGTTCCAGGTCAGAAGGGTGTCTTAGGGTCATAATCTCAGGGGTTCCTCCAGTCTCTGTCAGACCAGTAAGTCTGGTCTCTTTTGTTAATTTGATTTTTTTGTTCTAAATTTTTCTTCCACTCTGTCTGGGACCCTCCATTGTAATCCCAGTCAGAGCAGTAGGTAGTGGTAGCCAGGCACCATCTAGTTCTTCTGGTCTTGGGGTCATGTAGGCTGTGGTTCATGTGGACCAATAGTCCTTTGGACTAATTGCGCCCTGAGTCTTTGGTTTTCTTCACTCACTTTTGCTCTGGATGGAATAGACCAATAATTATATTTTAAATGGCCACTTGCAAGCTGTTAAGACCCCAGAGGCTACTCACCAAAGTAGGATGCAGAACATTGTATTTATGAACTGTGTTGTGCCAATTGACATAGAAGTATTGTATTGTGTCCCCCAAAAATGTGTATGAACTTGGCTAGGCCATGATTTCCAGTCTTGTATGGTTGTCCACCATTTTGTGATCTGATGTGATTATCGTATGTGTTGTAAATACCAACCTCTATGATGTTAATGAAGCAGGACTCAATCTACAGGATTAGGTTGTATCTTGAGTCAGTCTCTCTTGAGATATAAAAGAGAGAATCGAGCCGAGAGGAAAGGGACCTCATACCACCGAGAAAGAAAAGCCAGGAGTGGAGCGCATCCTTTGGACCCAGGGTCTGTGTGCTGAGAAGCTCCTAGATCAGGGGAAGATTGATGACAAGCACCTTTCCCCAGAACCGACAGAGAGAGAAAGTTTTCCCCAGAAGTAGGCCACTGAATTCTGACTTCTAGCCTCCTAGACTGTGAGAGAATAGATTTCAGTTTGTTAAAGCCATCCACTTGTGGTATTTCTGTTATAGCAGTACTAGATAACTAAGATAGTCCTCCAAATCTATGGTTCTTCACCTTTAAGCCTAGGAACTTTGTCTGTGAGGTGTTTGGTTATGTCTAAGAAGTTTCCATGACTGTGCCCCTTGTGTAGTCTATTGTCTATATCAATATACATGCAGCTCGTATAATTATGTATGTAGAGATATCCATAACCAATCCTGCATCGGCATGTGGATATGCTCCCTTGCACCCTCCCACACATCTTTAGCATACACAGCTACCTGTGTATCCTTTTGTAAATTATTGTTTGTGAATACTATTGTGCAGGATTGTCTATGTTATGGTAATTACTATAGTTGCCCTTTATTCTGGTATTACACTCAGCGTCTTCCTTTGCCTTGGTTGTGTTGTGCTGATTTCCCCTATATTGTGTGTTGCCTTTCACTTCACCAGTATTAACACGTGTTCTATTTGTTAGTAATTTTCCCTCCCTCACCCTCCAATCCCTGGTAACCATCAAATAATTTATTTTTTTCCTGTGTGTAAACCTTTTCTTGTTTCTTTATAATGGTGATCTCATACAATATTTGTCCTCTTTTTTGACTGGCTTATTTCACATAGCATAATGTCCTCCAAATTCATCCATGTTGTGAGATGTTTTGTGGATTCGTTGTTATTCTTTATCATTGCATAGTACTCCACTGTGTGTATGTATTAAAATTTGTTTATCCATTCATCCGATGATTGACACTTACGTTGTTTCCATCTTTTTTGCTATTGTGAATAATGCTGCAATGAGCATGGGTGTGCATATGTCTACTCATGTCATGGCTCTTATTTCTTTAGGGTATATACCTAGGGGTGGGATTGCTGGATCATATGGTATTTCTATTTCTAGCTTTTTAATGAAGTGCCATATCATTTTCCATAGTGGTCCTACCATTTCACATTCCCACTAGCAGTGTATAAAAGTTCCATTCTCACCACAGCCTCTCCAACTTTTGTTATTTTCTGTTTTTTTTTGATTAGTGCCATTATTATTGGGGTGAGATGGTGCCTCATTATAGTTTTGATATGCATCTCTCTAATGGCTAATGATCATGAGCATTTCTTTATGCGTTTTAATTATGTATTTTTTAAAAATCTAATTTCGTGTATAACAGTGTGGTGTCTGTGTGTGTGTAATTTATATACTTCTCTATCATTTGAATGTTTTATGATAAATGGAATGTATTAAAATTGATATTGCTTTTTCATATATCTCTGTTCTCTGATCTTACCCTTGAGATTAGGTTTATCCGTGTGCTAGCTTGTTTCAATTTAGGAAGAATATCTGTAGAATATATATATATTTGTTGTTGTTGTTGTTGAGAATATACACAGCAAAACATACACCAATTCAACTATTTCTATATGTACAATTCATTAACATTGATTGTGTTCTTCAAGTTGTGCAACTATTCTCCCCCTCCTTTTCAGAACTGTACCTCCTCCATTAACATAGGGTCACTATGAGTTGGAATGACTGGAGGGCAATGGGTTTTGTTTTGTTTTTCGGTTTTAGATACTCCTTAAAAGAGCACAGTGCTCATGGCAGACATTCTATACCAGTTGAGCTAAGAGAGTTCTACGTTTTTTGCCAACCGCCCTCCCAAGGTATTTTCATAAGCACTTTAGGCTAGTTTTCTTTTCTTTTCTTTTTTTACAGCAATATGTAAAAAAAAAATCAGCACTGTTGCTTATGAAAATACCTTGGGATGGTGGGAGAGGGTGTGGTTTGCACAAAAACATAGAACACGCAAATTATTTGTGAACAAATACAGTAAAGGCCAAAATAGTTCTAAAAACAAAGCTTTATGAGCTCGGGGAGGAATGAGTGGTTAGCAAAGGCGTCCTCTAGAAGGTAGGACTTAATTTTGGAATGTCCCAATTCCCATGAACACAGATGCCTGAGTTGTATCCCCAAAGTCATCCTAATTAGATGTGGGGCCTCTGGAATTTCTAAGATGTCTCATGTTGTGAATATTTGAAATACAGACTGATTGAAAACCCTGGACAGAGAGTCGTGATCAGTGCTCTGTACAAGAATTGATGGAAGAGTTGATGTGGCATCTCAGAAGTCACAGCTGCTTTCAGGAATAGCAG